TGCCACAAATCAAAGTGAAAACATAAAACTAGGCTTTTGCTTCTCCCCTGACTCCTTGAATAATTCTTCCTTTGGGATAAAGTTTCCTTCACCAATTCTGTAAAACTTAGTTACAGTTATTATGTTGTTTAATTTTTAATCCCAAACACTGTACGGAGTGATGGTCATCTCAGTGGAAGCCCATGGACTTCAATATCCATTTCTCCATAAATATTAATTACCAAAAGTATCGAAGAAAAATCCTTACAAGTAAGGATTTATCCTTCAACCTTATTGGAAAAGTTTGTTTGAACTTTCTCCACAGGTGAAAGTTGATGCTAAGCCTGAAAAGGGACTCTTTCTCTAGAAATTCCTTCAGTTTTTCATTCCAAAACTTGCTACTGTTGAACATTCAAACATTCATCTTCCCCATAAAATTTCTCTTCTGTAATCATTCTCTTCTGCAATGATTTCAGGTCAGACAGAACTTAAATCTTTGGTAAAAAAGCACATGTATAAGCTCTCTCCTACCATTTCACCCAAGATTGTCCATCTACAGGCTCAGTTTTAAGTACTGGGTGACAATATGTCAAAGTCTGGATAGTATTTCATTAATATCTCTGGCATGATCCTACACTAAGTCATTGCAGGGAAACCAACCCAATCTGTTAAATGAGATTATTGTAAAAACAAGTAGAACTGGACACTCTTCTCCTCCAGCAAGTAGGTTGGGATAGGCAAGAGATTGTGAGGGGACTTTGCTGGGCCAGCTAACCCCAACTGGCCAAAGGGCTTTTCCTTATGTACAATACAATGCCAAAAGTTCACGGTCACCAGTAAAAACTGGGACAGAGAAAGGGACATTTCTGGCTTCCAAGGTGGTTTCTGTTTGGAGAATGGCTGTTCTGCATGTGGGATGGGCTGAATGATTTCCTTTGCTTTATTTCTGTCACTTTCCTTCACCTAATAAACTGTTTTTATCTCAACCCATGTGCATTCCCACTTCTGTTTTTCTTCTTTTCTCCCCCTGTCCTGCTGGGGATGGGAGAGTGAGTGTTTGTGTGGCTGCAGGCCAGGCTCAACCCACTACATCCAGCAGAAATGTTAGAGTGTGGTCAGATATGGAGAATATAAAGATAAGATTTTCCATGGTAAATCTTTACTTGGATTTTATATGATTGAGAGGATACAAGAAATTCATGACTGTTATTGCTAGCAAATCCTGGGATCCTAGGATCTACCATGATACCCCTGGGCCCTGGTTATCTTAGATAACAGTGGAGAGGGGGAATCAAATTGTCCTGTAGACACTGCTGGTTTTGTCTTCATCCTGACAGAAACCTGGCATAAGAATTTTACTTTCCTCCTATCAAAATCTCACCTGCTGGTAATCATTTCCTTTCATCAACACCATTCTTTCTGTTTATCTTTTCTCTCTCTGCTTCCCCAAAATAGGATGGTTGTCATAATTTTCAAACTCAGCAGGAACATTTTCAAATGTGGGTTTTCCCCTGTAATGGACACTGCATCAAAACATAAGGCAATTAGGGATTCACTTTAAGTGCTTTCCTTTCATTTTCCTGCTGCTTAAATATTTGAAAGAAATTCACCAAGAGTTCTCCCAGTAGAGACCTGAAGGCTGACATGATATTTTAGGATTTAATGTTACAACAAAGAGCCAGGATTTAATTAACCTTCTTGCTCTTTGGAAGACCTGAGACATGGGATTGAGTTCCTCAGAAAACCACTGCTGCTTCTCTTGCAGTTACTGAGCTCATTAATCTCTGTGATATGGTTCTTAAGGGTACAGCAATGCTTTATTTTGATCAAGTTAAGAGTGCCAAATATTTTACAATGAAATACCTTGTCCTGACTTGCAGAGCACATCATTTAAACAAACCTGTAACAGAAGAGAAGTAAGGGGAAAAAAAAGGAAATGGAAATTCAGGAGCAGAAAAAGGGATATGGGATATGCTGACTTCCTCTGTTTGCCTGACACCTGTGCCACTGGGTTTGTGCACACAAAATATGATAGAACAGGAGAATGAGAAATTTAACCCTTGTTTTACACTAACCACCACACAATATACACAAACAGCACCTCTGAAAACAGTTTCTTTCTCTGAAACAATTCTCACCTTTCAAGTCAGACTTCATTCCTCCTCTAGGATGGAGAGTTCCCAAAAGCCACAGAAACTGCCCATGAAGCTAGCCTAACCCAAACCCAGCCAGGTAGTACTGATGGGACTGCCTGCTGGCAGTTTGGTGTATAAATCTCTAACTCATCAATAAGAAGAAACATCACAGAAGAACAACTGTGCAAAATTTTGACAGGAGAAAATTTTGAATTCTGTATGGTAACTTACAAATCCTATTGCAGAGAGAAGCTATGAACTGAGGGAGAAGTGGTGAGGCTGCACAGTCAGCGTGCACAAAGTGAAAGTTGGAAGAGACACCAGCTACTGCTAATGAAACAGTTAATGAAGTGCAGTTAAACCAAGTGTGATGTGCAGAATCTGGGTGGAAATATAATGAGTTTATGTGCCTTGTTTTGGGAGAGAGTCTATTTTCCTGAGGTTGTTTTTCCTGCTAGAGCCCTGTTCCTGTGAACACCCACCCGAGTGTTGATGGTGTGTGCTATGGCCCTGCTCCATCAGCACACCTCTGCTCTGTGCAGAAGCCAGGCTGTGAAATAGGGATAAAAAAAAAGGCTGCTGTGCCCTTCTGTCCACACTGACCTGAAATGCACAGGAAAATGAGATGCACAGACTTGGAAACCAGGAAACTCTTCCTGGTTTAGTAATATACATGCAGTCTTTCCATCCAGTCATACAGACGCCTCCTAGATTAATCTGCTCCTTTATACTGTGCCTCAAAGTCAAGATCCATCCCAGAGGTGACCTACTTGGGCACTAAGCCTGTGGCTGGAATAGAAATGATAATGCTGATGCATATAAGCACTTGTACAGGCTCTGCCTGGCCATGAACTACCTCAAATTCAGCTCCTTCTCTCTTACTGACTCCTCAATCAAAGTGCAGGCATAATTCTGCCCTGCTAATGTGGCAACAGAAAAGTTTTAGGCACCTGACACCCAGCAATCTGAAATGGTGAAGAAAGAGTATTTGTCTGGCTAAAGAGATAGACTGATAGAATTAAATTCCATCTTGCCATGCATGTGAGGTTGAAAAACTGGAGTGAACTGTAGCACCACAGTGCCCTGGTGTCTGTAATGATTATGTTTTGTGGATACAAAATTAATATTCATTTAAGACATGTAATGATTTCTAGTAGAGACAGAGAGTATTTTAGTTGGTGTAAAAGAGGAAAAGCAAAATTCCAGTTGCCCTTCAAGTGGTCCCTTTTTTCCTTTACCACATTTTCCCCAGAAGAAACATTTCATCTATTAATTTCAAAATGCAAGGTAAAAGCACAACACTGTCAAAGTCTCAGTTTCCAAATGCTTGATTTTTTTCTCTGTGCAGTTTACTATAAATGATCTACTTTTCCCATCAGAGACCAGTCAATCTCACTTCCCTATCAAAATGACTTTCAAGTATTTTTGGCAATTAAACACCTGAGACACAATGAAAAGTTGTTTTCTTTAGTCTTCTTGTCTATAATAATAAGTCTGTCTTATTTTTTGGGAGGGAGAAGATGGTTTAGGAAAAGGAAAGATGGAGAATGTATTTGCTTCACTTGCTATCAAAAATAGCAAGCGGGGCTAGGACAGGGGTTATCTTTTTGTTGGTTGTTTTTGGAAGTGTTTTTATGTTTGTTTTTAATAAAAACAGGTACACTGCAACATAAAAACTAAAGGAAATCGAATTGTTTATCAAATTCTATAGTGATTAAAATGTTAATCCCAATGAATTTATTTGCCTTAGCTCTTAGCTCTAATCTCTGAGAAAAGAGGATAAATACATTTGACTTTGGTGTACCTGTTTCCCTACCTGTGCTGTTCAGGACCATTTGACAGATGCACAAAATTAGTTACTTTGGAGCTTACTGGGAGGAATTTCTAATTTTTCATAAGTGCATAAAGAGGGTTTTTTCTTTTCTGTTTCAGTAAATAATTTTTGCCATACACTTACCACTTACACTGTAAAACAGGTTTAAGTGCTGACATTTTTAAAATAAAATTGTACCATGATATATCTTGACTCTCACAGCACTAAAAAATGTTCATGTCCAGCTGCTCACCTAAACCTGAAAATCAGGTAAAACAACTTATTGTGCTATATAAAATTCTTAAAGTCTGACTGTGCCAAGGAAACAAGCTTTGTTACAACCAAGGTGAAAGCAAATTTCTGTGCATGTGTTGGTGAAATTATTCAAGTAGGAAACAACCAATAATCCCCACAGTAAAATGGCAGAGATAAAACTGGGAGTATTCAGCAGTATTAAGGAATGAAATATGTTACAAGGATGCTGTAAATATTTTTAATCAACATTTTAAGTCCAGAAAATAGGGTTAAGGTTTTACTGAAAGAAAATTCTAAACAAATTGACTTCTGTAAATATCTGAACACCCAAAACACCTGAGCACAACGCCACTCTGCAATAAAGAGTTATGATTAATTCACAGATTATTTATAGTCCTACCTGAGGTTACATTTGGCTTTACACATGTATGCAGTGTTTTCCATTTTTTACCCCTTATGGTAGGCTACTTTCAATATGCCCTTCTAGATCTTACTCACTTTTATTTGAGACAGTAAATGCAAACCCTGTAAGTTTGGCATTGATTCTGAATAAACTACAGATGACCAAGGTGAACAGGAGATTTATTTAAAAGGAATAGCATCTCAGTGTAAAGTAAAACAAGGGTCAATTTTATGGATCTAATACCACTAATTAGACTCAACAGAAGTGTAATGGGATGTTATTATCTCTATGCATTTAAAACCCTACATTAAACTAAAATTAAAATACATTAAATCATTAAACTTCAAGGGTTATATTTACTTATATATTTGTAGACCGTGGAAAATAGATCCCTAATGCTCTGACTCTCACTGACCTAGCCAGGAACAGCCATGGGAATGACACATCGGGCAGCTGCCTATGAAGTCCACCAAAGCCTCAAGGAACTCCTGCAATGAATTCAAATAAGATTCATTTTAATAAAGAGCATCTCTTTTATGAGGAGAGCCTGCGGGAGCAGGGCCTGTTTAGTGTAGAGAAGGCTGAGAAAGATCTCACCCATACTTATCAACATCTCCCAGGAGGGTCTCAAGAGGATGGTGCCAGCCTCTTCGGCGGTGTACAGCCGAAGGACAAGGAGCAAAGGGCATGAACTAAAACACGAGAAGTTTCACCCCTACACAAGGAGGAATTCTTTCCATTGAGGGTGGCAGAGCTCTGGAAGAGCTGCACAGGGAGGGTGTGGAGTCTCCCTCTCTGGAGACATTTCAGAGCTACCTGGACGCATCCTCGTGTCACCTGCTCTGGGTGACCTTGTGTGGGCAGGGGGATGGACTGAGTTATCTCCACAGGTCACTCCAACCCCGACCATTCCGTGATTCACCCCGTTCACGCCGGCCGTCACCGACCAGGGCGGCCCGGGGTGCTCTGACCCTCGGGCGCCTCGGGCCCTCCCTC